ATAAATAAAATATTCAATTTTTTCTTGTTATAATTACATTCCATTCAAAGAAAATCAATGTTTTCAACAAATCATTGCTTTTGAAAGTGAGACAAGTCCACAAGACATACCAAAACCATGATTTTTTTCCACCTTACACAGATAACCATTATTACATAATAAATTTACATGAAATAAGACCAAAAAAATATTAAAATAAGTCTATTACTGTTTGTGAATATTTTTAAACCCATTCAAATGAAAACCTTTAAATATCTAGCAATAACATAAAATGAACTTGCCCCACTTTCAAAATCAACAGCTCAATTAATGTAAGGTAATTACTACAAAACCGNAGACCAAAAAAATATTAAAATAAGTCTATTACTGTTTGTGAATATTTTTAAACCCATTCAAATGGAAACCTTTAAATATCTAGCAATAACATAAAATGAACTTGCCCCACTTTCAAAATCAACAGCTCAATTAATGTAAGGTAATTACTACAAAACCGACCTTTGGAGTCTGTCCTTTAACTTTACCAGCACGAGCAAGAGAACCATGAACTTTGCCTGGAATGGAAAACAAATTTTGCTGTAGATATTAAGAATATTGAGCAAAAACATAAATATACATTTGTTATTAATTTTAAAAAAAATCACATGCAGCTAGATTCTTTTCACAACATGGAATTATACATACTTAAACCAGTTAAGCATTAAAATAAATACTATATTTATAATTTTGTTATCAGCAATCAAATAATTATAAAAACTAAATTATACTCCAATTTACAACTTTCTTTGTATTCTTAGTCTATTGTAAATTTGTTTAATTTCTTTCTATTCTATTTGGAATTACTAACAGATTAGTATTTTAATTAATTACAAAATAATAATAAACAGACAATACACATTAAAAATCAAGAAAGAGAGAATTAAATTTTTCATCTGGTCACAAAACAACATGCAACTGATTGGAGCTTTGTGATCAGTTGCATGATATGTGAAACAAAGTTAATACTACTCATGAAATAAAACATTAATAATTAATTCAAAAACATATTCCAATAACATCCTGTATTCCTAAGTTATAAAAATACTTTCAATAAAAATTCCAAGAAATAATTCTATCATCATATTTTACAAAAATTTAAAACTTCATACTGTTAAACTTCTAAAACTAACTTACTTACCTCCCCTTAATCTTATAGAAATGTCAACAGTAGCACCATTCATAAGAAAATCAGAAATATTATCATCTTCATGAAGAGGTTTACCACCATAATAGAATAACTGTTCTTCTTGTGGTAAATTCTCAGTGATTTCAATAAAGTTCTATTTAAATTTAAAACATTTATGAATAATTGAAGTAACTGAAACATTACTATTAAAATATATTATATATTATTAAAAAATATACCTTTAGAAAAGATATCTTTTCATTTTCAGGAACTTCAATGGAATAAAGTTGATCACTTTGTAAAAAGAGTTGCATCTTGCTAAACTGAAATTTATAAAATATTAAAATTTATCTTCAAAAATTATTCACTATAATAATAATTATTATTACTATACAATTTCAGCAATGAGATGACAATTCTATAAAATCAATTTATTCAAATTACAATTACTAATTTATATAGAAACATTCACACAATTTTAGATCTATGTATTTAGTTAATGTCTTTTAAACTACTTAGTTAATGTCTTTTAAACTAATTATAGTTAATACTATTCATATAATCATAAAACATTTATCAAACCTGTAAATCAAAAGTTGACTTTAAAAAATTAATTGTCATGAAAGACAATTGGAATGTATTTTTTCCAAACTTAAACTGCTACTATTAAGATCAAATAATAAATTTTACTATCCAAAATTTAACATGTTTAGTAGAAGCTTATAACAGAAATAGTATTGGATTATGACCTGTATACTTTGACAGCCATAGCATTGAAACAATCTTCTAAAACTATAAGGACCAATCTGAAGACAACGCGGATGGTTAAATCTTTCCTGGCAACGAATCAGTTAAATCTATTGGTTGCTGATAAAGAAAAACATTTTGTTCTACCAGGGCTGTAGAGTCGGAGTTGTGTAGTTTTGATGTTTTAGCTGGAGTCGGAGTAACCTTAGTATTAATTTTGCCTCCTGTAACTTAGATTTAGTTATTCAATAAATGCTTTGTTATTTTGTTAAACCTGTCTCCTGTCTTTGGAAGGATGCCTGCCAGCTTATCGATGTTCTCCCCACTCATTTAGGCCTCCTAGCCATCCAACAACTCTGAGATCGGGCTTTACTAGCCCGTGCAGATTAAATGGTCATTTGGGGATTAACCCAGTGGCCCACTGCCAATCTCACATATGCAATTAATAAACTTCAACTAGTACAAAATCATTTTATTCAATCCATTCATAATTTACACTTCAGAGAATTGGTGTTGGAATACTATAGAATTGATAAAATTGATAGAATATGCAATATTTATATAAAACAAGTTTTGGTGGAGAGCCACAAATTTATAAATGGATATAAAGATAATAGTTGTCTAGGAGGAAATAAAATAAGTGAATACTGTAATGTTTCAAATCAGAATACTTGAAGGACTTATGAATACACTTTTCCAGTTGTCAGACTCACGATAGGAAAATCTTCGCCAATTTTTCAAATTATTTTATATTGGAATGAGTTCAGTAACGACTTAAGAGAAGTGTCGAGTTATAAAGTCTACAAAAACGTAAATCTGTTTGTTAAATTATTAGTTAACAGCAATAACTATAATTTATTTTTTGTTTTCAATTGTTTGTAGATACTTGAAAAAGGCCTAATGGCAACAGTGTCTTTTTCAAATAAATAAAAATTAATAAAAACAAAAAAACTTGTCAACACAAAAAACATTTTCATTTTTTATCTGTTGCATCGAATGGGTTTAATAATTTTTTTAACAAAAAAATCCTATTTTATCTTTTTTTAAAAAAATAAACCTTACTAAAATAGTACTATATATATACTTACTGTATAGTTTTGTCCTACTATATTCAGAATCTTCCAAAGATTTTCTTCTGTAAAAAAAAAAAAGATATGTATGAATGATAAGAATATTTTTATTTAAAAAAATACCTAAATAAATTTTTTTAAATGAATCTTAAGTTAATTTAAATTTTAGAATTTAATTTTGACTTAAATGTTAAAACAACAAGGAGCAATCTTAAAAAAAAAAAAAAACTACAATTTGGAATTAATGTAGGATAACAATAATTTTCAAAAATTCTATTCCATCATAAAATATTGACATTACAAATAACCAAACTACATGTATAATTATTATTCTGAATTTTGCAGTTTGTGTTTTACTAAATAATTCTCTAGCTTGGGCAGACCAAACAAGAAAATAGTTAAGTAAATTTTCTGTTACTGGTTTTGTTGTGGATTTTAAAGAATTAAAAGCTATGGGCTTTTTTTCTTCAGTAACACATCACACAAGGAACATTTGATATTGATTTTATTGGAGGAAATGCATTTTGGATCTTAATGACCCCTCTTCAGTACTTTACAAAAAACAGATAGACAAGGATTACATGATACATAATAATACATATAATATTTTAACAAAATTTTTTTATAAGTTACATGGTTGATTGTTGGTTACAAATCTATATACAGTAATACCCCAAACTTACGCGATAAGTGGGATCGAGCGATAACCGCGTAAGTCGGGGTATAATTTTGCAATTTGTGTAAAACCAAATCGGATGCATGTAAGATAATAAATGTTCTTGTTAATCTTATCTCGTCTTTTGATTCATTCATGGTTAGAAGAAATCACCACAGAGTCTCTCAAGTCTCCGTAGATATAACAAACACAGAAATAAACAGCACATAATAAATTGTAGCTATGTGTCAATTCCACAAGGCACATCTGAACATGTAAGCTAAACAATAGTGTGGAGGGCGAGTAATCAACAGTTGCGTGGCACTCAAACAAAAGACAAATCAACGAGATTTGAAAATCGCGTAACTATGGGTTCATGTAAGTCAGGGTAGCATAAGTTGAGTTATTACTGTATATATATAATCAAAATGGGTTGATGATGATGATGATAATAATAATAATAATAATAATAATGTGCAGAGCCCAAATAGTTAGGAGTTGAAGGTTGAAATGTTATACACAGTTAGGGTATGTCATGAGAACATACACTAAGAAGGGATTTTTCAAAATTCCCCACAGGGAAGAGGGACAGGATTAAGGCTTCCCGTGAAGAGCTTCGCTTTTATTATACAAGGGCTATTTTTTAAATAAGGTCCGTTTGCAAATGAGAGTGAGAATAACGTGTGATTGCGACAGTGTGTGCGCGCATCTGCTCCGAGCTGCAAATGGCTCAGCACACAGACAGATGATATGGCTGCATAGGATGTCTAAGCATGCTTTGCATGCATTTAAACAACATTTGCAGCCACATCATCTGTCTGTGTGCCGAGCCGTGAAAGTTTATAATGTTTAAGAAAATTGAGTCACTCACCAACTATGAGATACGATCTGTTATTCGATTCTTGAGTGCAAGAAACTTTGCGGAAATTCACAGTCAGATTTGTGAAGTTTAGGATGATAATGCTATGAGTGAATGTAAAGTTCAAAAGTGGGTGAGAATGTTCAAGGACAGGCAGGTTAATGTGCATGATGAGCCACACCTTGGCCGACCTTCTCTGATTTCTACAGATGTGGATAACAAAGTTCGAGAGGACCGATGATTCACAATTTCAATGTTATCAATTAAATTTCCACAGGTTTCAGATCAGTTTCGGAGAAAATGAATTATCAAAAATTGTGTTCTCTGTGGGTTCCAAGACTGTTTTCTGACGATTACAAAACAAAAAGATTGCGCAGTGCTTTATCGTTTCTGACTCAATATGATCAGGAAGGAGATGAATTGTTGGACCACATTGTTACAGGAGATGAGACTTGGGTGTCTCACATGACTCCTGAGTCTAAGTAACAGTCAATGGAATGGCAACACACATCTTCGCCAACCAAAGTGAAAGCCAAACAGTCCATTTCAGCACAAAAAATTATGGCAACTGTCTTTTGGGACAGGAAAGGGATTTTGTTAGTGGATTTTATGCTGAGAGGCACAACAATCAATTCTGATGTATTTGGGGGACCTTGAGAAAATTCCAGCATGCCAAACAAGCAGCATGGTCTAATGTCTTCTGATGTGATGTTGCTCCATGACAATGCAAGGCCACATGTTTCTGCACAAACACAAGATCTAATCAGTTCTTTTGGATGGGAACAACTGGATCATCCACCTTACAGTCCAGACCTTGCACCCAGTAATTTTCACTTGTTTCGATACTGGTGGTCAACAATTCAACAACGATGAAGAAGTGAAAACTGCAGTCATGGATTCGGCTTTTTCACAAGCAGCAGATTTCTTTAAAGTCAGAATTAAAAAAATTGTTGAGTGGTATGACAAATGTATGAACAAAAATGGAAATTATGTAGAAAAGTAGAAAAAAGTATGTAGAATATAGGAAAAAATATATTTTAATGATATTTACAGTATTTTTCTTCTTATTAAAAAACGGACCTTATTTAAAAAATAGCCTTCGTACTATTTTAGATGCAGTTTTTTACCTTTTTGATTGCGTTTTAATAGGGTATGTCACAAGAATGTACACTAAAAAAGGGTTTTTCGAAATTCCCTCTGCAGGGAAGTGTTAAGTAAGAATGAAAGTGTTAAGAGAAAGCAACATGCAAGATTTACAGACACAGATATGGGTTTTTTGCATAATTGTGGGAAACTGAACATATTTTTAGACCCATCTAAAAATTTTCTAATTAGTCTGGAAACAGGAGGACCTAATTTTTGCATTCTGTGAAAATGGGTAAGATTGGCTATACCGTAATAATCTTAATCTTTGCTATTGTTACTTTTGCCCGAGCAATGCCAGCCTTATCTGCTACTTGAAATAATATTAAAGAAAATATTGGGTAATTGACTGGGTAAAATATGTTTAGAAGGTATGTTTAGAATATGTTTAATTGTTGTGTTTTGGTGAAGTTAAGCTGAACTGAGGCTTTATTAGCATTTTTTTTTTTTTTTTTTTTTTTTTTTTTTTTTTTTTTTTTTTTTTTTTTTTTTTTTTTTTTTTTTTTTTTTTTTTTTTTTTTTTTTTTTTTTTTTTTTTTTTTTTTTTTTTTTTTTTTTTTTTTTTTTTTTTTTTTTTTTTTTTTTTTTTTTTTTTTTTTTTTTTTTTTTTTTTTTTTTTTTTTTTTTTTTTTTTTTTTTTTTTTTTTTTTTTTTTTTTTTTTTTTTTTTTTTTTTTTTTTTTTTTTTTTTTTTTTTTTTTTTTTTTTTTTTTTTTTTTTTTTTTTTTTTTTTTTTTTTTTTTTTTTTTTTTTTTTTTTTTTTTTTTTTTTTTTTTTTTTTTTTTTTTTTTTTTTTTTTTTTTTTTTTTTTTTTTTTTTTTTTTTTTTTTTTTTTTTTTTTTTTTTTTTT